CCTCCCTTCTGCACACTCCTCCTCAGACAGTCTGTCCTGGTTCTCTCCTCTCTCCCCTTTGGATGGGGCCATGTAGTTTCCATGGTCCACCTGTGACCCTCATGCTTTGTGTGCTTTCTGTGGAGAGCCCAGCGTGACACTTTCATGAGGAAGGAATGGCCTTCAGGATCTCCACACAAAAAGCATCCTGGCAGCCACACGGCAGAGACAGGGGAAATCGATGTGCAGCTGCCAGCCGGGAGAAGATGAGCAGCAGGCAGGTTTCCCCTTGCAGAAGACCAGCTAAGGTGCCAGGCATGGTGGCCCACGCCTATAATCCCAGTACCCAGAAGGCTCAGGCAGGGGAGTCCCTGTGACTGTGAGACCAATCAGGAACACAAAGTGAGCTCAGTGACAGCCTGAACTATCTAGGGAACCCCATCTCAACTCACACACAGGACACAGCCCCTTAGGAGCAGGCAGCACCAGAGCAGGAGAGCTGCACAGCCAGGCTCCACACACTGCCACCACATAGAGATGCTCTCCCTGCAGGCCTGCCCTCCCCTCTGCTTCTGCTTCCCCCTACCTCATCCCTGCAACACCACTGGCCTCCTGGGGTGCCTGCCTCTTTCACTGAGTTTGTAAAGTTCATCTGTCCAAAACCACTCCTGCTCCCCTGGCTGCCTCCCAGAAATACTCCCACTCGTCCTCTCACCACCCAGCTCCCCACAGCCCTGCAGCATCCCTGGGCCAGTTCTGATGCAAGGTTTCATTTCCCCTGGGGCTTCTCTTGCACTTCCCATATAAAAATATTCTGTTTTGGACGCTTGTTGAAATTACTTGTGGCTCTGTGCCTTGTGTTATAAGCAACCGTGTTGCGCATGTTTGACACTGACAAGAATGAAAAGAGGGGGAAGAGAAGAATCAAAAGTATATAAAGATAAGATTCTTGGATTTGGAGTATGAGAAAACTTAATTTCCATTCTGTCCTTCTCCTAGAGGCTCTGGCTTCGTTTGGAAGCTATGATTGTTGTGGGTTCAGGTGGACCAGTCATGCTGCCAGGGCCTGAATGCAACTTCATGACTACTTTGTGTCCCTTGTTTGTGAAACCCTGTGAAACTCTTGTTTGAGGGAGACCGCAGTATGCTTTCAAGTGGGAACTCTTTCAGTCATACAGTGTAAAATATTGGCATGTCAGTTTGGGAAACACAGGAAGTCTCCTCTTTAAATTTTGTATTTCAGTAGACAGAAGTCATTGAGGTACTACTGAAAATAAAATATAGACCATTGAACTCACAGCTCTACTCCGGAGCTCTAACCTTGCCCATAGTTCTGGAATGATGGGCAAGAATGTCTGTGACACACGCGGGAGGCTGAGTCAGAAGGATCAGTGCAAGTTTTGGACCAGCCTGGCTTGCAAAGTAAGATTGAGACCAGCCTCAAAGCATAGCAGACCCTGTCTCAAAAAGGCAAATGCACACACACACACACACACACACACACACACACACTCTAACAAGATTGAGTGTGGAACACTGAGGTGGCTGAGACCGGTGGATCTCTGCAAGTTCCAGAGCAGCCTAGGCTACAAAGTAAGATTGAGACCACCCTCAACTGCATAGCAAGACCCTGTCATAAAAACGCAAACAAACACACAGGAGTGTGACACTGATTAAGAAAAATATAAGATTCCAAATTGTAAGTGAATGTCGATGGGACAACGAGCCTGCTTCCTAAAGGGTTAATGCAGAACAAAGACAGAGTTGTCTTTTGCTTGTGTTTTATCTATGGCCAGAAGATTGGGTTTGCAAGGATATGGGGGACATAAGACCTGGTAGAGAAAACACACTTGGGCTTTAGGAACACGGTGAAAATGGCTGAACCCCTCTAGACCTGGAAGCACACACATGGGAACACTGAGTGCTTTCCAGGGAGGTTGGTTGTTTTCTTACAGATGATGTGACCCAACTGTGGGCTTGAGTGAGAGGTCAGAGACTGCAGCCCCTTCCAGCTGAGCCCTGTGTGGGATGGACGGGGGAGGGGAGAAAGGGCTGAGGAGCTGAACACGGCTGGTGCATACAGCCTAAGGCAGATGGTCCAAGGCCCAGGGAAAGGCACGGTCACTAAGAGATTGAATTTTTCTGAAGGGATCCTCTGTTTTCCATCCCAAGCCACCACACTGTTTGAGACTTACATACCCTCACCTATCCAAAACAAGAGAAGCCTGGAAAAATAACATAAGTGTGCCATCGCAGCACTCAGGATGCTGAGGCAGGAGGATCTCTGTGAGCCACAGGTCAGCCAAGTCCACAGAGTGAAATAAAGGCCCAGCTACTACATAGCAAAAGCCAGTCCCCCCAAAAGAAAACAAAATGACAGCATACTGGCTGTTATTCAAAACGCCCTAGAGTGCAGAAAGATGACAGTGTCATCTTCATGTAAGCCACGAGTCTCCCAAAAGAAAAAGGTTTCTGCTTGCAAAAGCAGGATGAAATGATGAACCTCTTTCCCAGGAATTGCTGCAAGATCCATGAACGTTTATCTCACTGGCCAAATAATAACGATCTTGTGTGAATTACACAAAGGAAATTGAGGGTGAGAGTGCTAAGAAAAAGTTACTGGATAGGGAAAGATTCCCTTTCCTGGGGAGAACCCTACTGCTCTGGCTACGTGGAAGGGAACATGGGAAGAATTTCAGTGAACACTGAAATAAAGGTAATTCTTCCCTGAAGTAAGTACTATCCTTAAGATGAGGATTAAGGAGAAGGTGTCAGTGGCATCTGATTCTGGATGGTGTCCCCTCAAATTATGTAATACTAGATCAAGTATGGGGTTACAAGGCACAAAAGAAAGTTTAAACACTACTATTCACAATGGAGAAGACTAGGAATGGGGGGGGGTAGTTCAATGGCAGAGGGCTTGCCCAGAATGTATGATGCCCTGAGTTTGATCTCAACCAACACCCCTGCAAACACATCAAGGTCACAAGAGGGGTAATTTCATCATGGCTGCCTGGTTCTCGTGGGACATTCAGAGCCGGTCACCAGAAAGCTCCTGGGCTCCAAAGCTGAGGGGTGCAGTCACGGGTACCAAGATCCACACACAGACACTCCTGCTTTAAGGACTGAGTTCTGTTCCAGTCACCAGTATGTTCACGGAATTGGTTTCCAAATGAGGAGTTGAGTTCAGGATGTGTGTTCCAATATTCAGTACAGGGAAAAGCTCAAAAGAAAATCCAACTCGATAACTTTGAGCTCTGGAACCTAGGTGTGGTGCTGCAGCATATAATAGAACATAAAACTATGGTACCACACTGTACGGTACACTCAGCAAAAACTACATCCCCGTATAAACAAGGTGTGCTGCACAGAAGAGACACTGAGGCTCTATGCAGAAGAAGTACAACCATGGACAAAAGGCACCCGGAAGTCAGAGCAGCCATTGCACAGGGAGGTCATTAAATGGGGAAGAGCCACAGAGCAAGGCAAAGTGAAGTGCAAACCACCAGACCAATTCCCCCATCAGAGGCTTTGAGAAAGCAAACTGCATCTTCCCTGGTACTCTGCACTGTTCCCACCGCCGGGCCAGTGAACCAGGCATCTTGGGAGAGGATCTAACCCCATGGGGGAAGGCATCCAGCCCAAAAGAACCATCGAGTGCCCACCTGTCTTAAATCTTAGCTCACTGGGAGACTGGATCACGGATCAAGTTAGTCACCCACAGGGGTACCTGAGAAACTGAAAGCCAGAGAATCATTCAGAGACTGTTGATTGACTTAGGACCAACAGGCCTTTGAGAACAAAAAGGAAAGGCCTCACAGAACACACAGCCACTCGCAGAGGGCACCTGCAGTCACCACTGTACCTTGTGTGTGGCCCTGCACTCACTGTCCCTTAGGACTGCGCTTTTCACACTTCTTGACCTTTAATGTAAAACTCCTTGCAGGACACTCACACCGCCAAAGATTAACTCAAAGCAAATGTTCATCTCAGAACACCTTAATGCTTTAGCACAGTGGTACTCAGTGTTCTGTGCCTACACCTCTGCTGATTTTGTTTCTACACTTGTAGTCCAAATCAGAGGATGAGAACTCCTGCAGCCAACAGTTGATTCCAAAGTCTGCTTTCCCCAGACCTGTGCTCATGGAGCTGCAATCTTATTCTGGCTTTCAGTGGCTCTGGTGAAATGACCTGCTATCAACTTGAAGGCACCAGGAAGTGGAGATCCGCAACAGGGCTCACAAACAACAAGGACAAGACGAGGAGAGGTTCTCAGCATCTAAGCCAGGTTGATGATTTGGCCACAGGCCTGGGGATGGGAAAGGTTCAGCAGCCTCTCTGGCCTCTATAGGATTGAGTCCTGACTTTGCTAAGATCCAGCAGGACTTCTGCTCCACAACTGCCCCTGGGACCCTAGGTGCTCCCCAGACAGGAGGACACTGAGCAGTCTTGGGTACAAAGCAGATGCTGTGCTTCTGCCACCTTGCCACTCACCCAGGACTCCTCTCTTGGAGAGCTACTGTCACAGACCTGTGTTGCCACTGAACTCCTTAGTGTGGATGAGACCCAGTCTGCCGTGCACATGGTGTCCTCTCACCAGGGACCAGGCCGGCCTCTCTTGCACACAGGGGAGGTTCCCAAATGACACCACACTCTTGAGGAAGCAATGGTGCATTTTCCAGGAACAGAGAAATAAGTAATAAATATTGGTCATTCATAACTCACCATAGCAAGTAGAAGACTGATTTCCAAGGCCTCTTGAGGTTAACTCAAGAAGATATTTCATCACAGGAGACCTCATCATCATTCTGTTGGAATGACCTTAGCTCTGCACATTTTATCCAGCTGTAACAAACCCCATAAAGAACAGGAAAACATAAATGCTAAGAATTCACAACTTTATTGCAAACACCAGTGCTATGAACAGTATTATGGAATAGAGAAACAGATTTGTGAACAACAACAAAAGAATTCCAAGCACAATCTGCTTCTTCAAACAGGACAGCATCCTAGAGCAGCTCTTACTCTTCCTCAGTGACAGCGTGGTCCTGGGAATCAGGGGGTGAGCTCCCGAGCAGAGCTTCCCTCACAGCTTTCCGGTATTTGGCTCTCCGATTGTTAAACCAAACCTGAGGGCAGAGGGGAAAACTGATAGGGTTAGTACACAGGAATCAGTGTCATAAAGAAACAAACACATCACATACCTTCCTATGCTAGTGACACAGAGGACTGAGGGTGGACATCAGAGGGGGACCACAGGCCCAGTCTACACAGGGCCTTGAGCTCCATCTGAAGCTCTGGACAATAAAAATAACTGTAGAAACATAATCACACCTCTTCTCCACATACTTAGTGAGCACCACCTCCATGCCCTGCTCAGGAACAGGGTAGAACGTCTGCCCTGTTCTCCCCAGCTCACTTTTCCTGAATGGTTTCTTCCAGCTGTGGGACACAGGCCCCAATGAAAAGTGGCTCCAGTGATGGGTAGAACTCCAGGGCTCCTAAGAGATAAAGCAACTTAGCAACTTGACTGCTGACCTGACACTGGCCAGCTGGCTCCTGCTCAGAAGGAGGAGCTCTACCACGTGTGGGGCTTTAGCGTGTCACCCTGAGATCTGTAGGTAAAGTCCTAAGCAGGGAGACAGCTCCCGGTTTGACAATCCCACCTTAGTGAGAATGAAAGTACCGCAGGATGGAATATGTGGGCCTTTTTGAAAGAGGCTTCACTCAAGGAAATGTCAGGACCCTCCATCCCATGTAGCCCTTTGACGGCTAAAGGCAGTCAGTGGGACAGGGAGCCTGGACAGTGCTTTGAATTGTAGCCTGTCATATAGGACAAGTTGACAACCCATCATTCCAAGTGAACTAAAACTCTCAAGTGCTTGGCATCCAAGGTTTTGAAGGAAGAAAATCGTCATCGAAACCAGAATTCTGTTTTCTCTCTGCAGTCTGCCACACCCCTAAGACAAGTCAGCTCACAGCATTTCATCAGCTCTTCCAAGTCCTGGATCAGCCTGCCTGGCACCCACAGTCCCACTGCCCCACCTGGGCAAGCACGGCCCGGCCCTGGTCCCAAGACACAAAAGTGAAAGGGCTTCCAGGAAAAGGAGTCCCCAGCAGCGATGAGGAGCAGAAGGGGCCACAGCACTGCTCCTTTCTAAACCTCTGCTACACAGTCCTCTGCAGCCAGACCAAGAACTGTGCCCTATGTCACTGTGCTCTGCGGCCCTCTTGGACTCCTGGTTCTGCACGATTCACAAAGACTTAAACATTTGTGAAGCTGCCGTACTGCACATGTTAATGACACAAATGGCCTTCTTTCCCTGCCTCACACCTGCTTCCCCACAAGGATACACCTCTCAAGAAGCCCAGGACAGCAGGGCTGGTGTGCACGGCAGGTAAAGTGTCCCCTGGTGGCTTCTGCATCTACACAGCAGCATGCACAGTGCAGTGTCACGGGTGAGCTGACATCAGGTCTTCATCCAGAGCCTCACTTGCTACCAGTGTATCACTATGCACAGGAGAGGGGGACCATGCGTGAGGTTGTTGGGAACTTCAGGCGGCAGAAATGTCACACACTGAGCACATTCCCCTCCTTCGCTAGTTTGCTGCAGCCCCTGTTCCCTCAGGACTCCAGTCAGAGAGGCCCACAGCAGGGTGGGGAGAAAGCCCCTCCCACCGGGATCCTCTGTGGGATTTGCTGGGGAGCCTGAGAAAATGCTCCCCACCCGCTCCCTGCATCTTCCAGCTGAGACAGCCTGTGTGGACCAGGCCTTTGCATTGGGATGTCAGTGCTTAGTGTCCCACTGTGCTGGGCTGGTTTCCTGGAGCCTCCTCAACACATGCTCAGCCCATTTCCTGATTGATCTCTGTCATCCACACTGCAACAGCGCTGCTGATGAGCTCATCCTTACTTTCTCACACACACCCTCTTGTTTATCTGTATCTCCTGGGCTCTTCTGTCTCACATAGGTTTCCTGTGCCCCAGGACCTTCACCTATTCTGCTCAGCACTGTGTCAAGGAGAGCGAGCTCCTTGAAATTATGTCTGGTTTCAATCAACCCTGAAATGAGGACCCTGCCACCTATTGTTCTACAAAACCCATTCCCTGAATCATTGCACCATAAAAGAAAATCCAATCCACTTCATGTTAAAATTATTTTCAAACGAGTTTCACTTTCGAATTTAACTGTGAATTTTAAGGCGTCTTTTGACTGCTTGAATTCTTCTCTATCCATTTCATCTTTCTTCAGTTATCCAAACTTTGTACCATAGCACTGTTTTTCCTTATGGCATTCTTGACATGATTTCTAAACCTACAGTCCTAGCCACTACTCAGTCATCCTCTATTTGACGAAGGTTTTCACATGGAAATTGCGCTGTAGGCAGAGAAGGGTAAATTGTGACTTTCTCCTCTCTTTTACCTTATCAGAACTTACAAAGAAAAGAAAACCAGGCAACTAAGCTTTCACACTACCTTCCTTCAACACCTTCAGCTCAACTAGACATCTGATACTTGCCTAGAGATCATTTTCTGTGAGCGTTCAGTCTCTCTTCCCAGCATTAATCAATGCTAGCTTTAGAGAAAGAGCTCAGTGGTAGAGCCCTAGGCACTGACATGTGACGTCCTGGATTCTACGTCCAGCACCAAAAAGAAAATCAAAGGGCATAAAGACGAAACCATCAAATGGTTCTTACCACACTCATGCTTACCTATGTTGTTAGGCTTCAGTTTCAAATAGTTGACTACAATGGAACCCTCCGTTAACCTTGCCTCCCTCTGGGCCTATTTGGATACTTTCAAGGTCATACTGAGCCCCAACACGACTGCATGCAGAAATGCACATTAAAGCACACTAGTCCTGAGTGAGGACAATATTGCTTAGTGAATTCAGGCATACAGACGTTCCCCATTTAACACGTGAGGTCTATGCATTTGATTAGGTTGTGAAATGAATAGTTTGCTAAGTGGGGTATTTAATATTGTATGTACACTGCAATATTCAGAGCAAAGGAATATGCGACCTGAGGCCTTTGTTTTTCTGTTCATAATTTTACATGCAGTAAGGGATAACAGAACATCTAAACACAATGCCGCACAGGACGATCAGCAAATATTACTGTCTGCTATATAAAAGGTGTACTGCACAAGAGGAAAACACTGAAACACTGTAAGGAAAATGTAGGAAACTATACCAGAACCTGACAGGACATAACACCAAGTACGGTGCCCCAGGCCTAAATCCAGTCATTAAACAGGTAGGCCGTTAAATAAGGAGTATCTGCACATTTGTCCGTGTATTAAGGATATGCCTGATTACACCACTCTGTTTTCTGTGCCCAGATATATTCACTCTTCACACAGGATAAGAGAGGCATGTTGGTATTTTGTTTTTGCTTTACAAAAGCATGTTCCCTCTGGTAATGGGAATTCTGGAACTACAAGCCCACGTCTACTCATTTGATTTTCTCTCTAGGAGTCCTCCTAAGTCAAAATCTTGCTTGCACAGTAAGATACAACAAGAAATGACACCAGCTTCACAGCAGCCAGGAAAAGCCATGTCCTGAAACACGATGGAGACTGGCTGCCCTGCCAATGGGCTATTTTTGGACTTACTGACCTTCACTCTGGATTCAGGCACACGCAGGATGCTTGCAAGCTCCATTCTGTGGAGACAAAACCACAAATGTTCCACGTTCAGTGATCTGGATGAGGCAGGCAGTGTTCTGCATGACTGGAGTATCATACAGGCACTGTGTGGTGGGCTGCACACTGTAATCACCCTCCCAGTGCACCAAGAACATTTTTCTCTTTCCCCGAGGAAAAGCCTCTCATCAGCAATGCTTTCTCCGGTCATAATACTTAACGCTACCAAGTTAGGGATATTTTAATGCATTATATTGAGAAAATAAAACTGAAAGCAAAAATCTATGATAAAAAAGAGTAGATATTTTTATGTTATGGAAAATTATAAATAAAAGTTCAAAAAACTTATAGACTAACAATAGTTAAAAAATTGGGTATTATTATCTTCAAATTAGTTTCACAGAGTAAAACACATTGGCAAAAATAATTCTCCAAATGACACTGGCACAACACTTTCATTCTGTGAACTAATACAAACTCCTCGTAGAACTGTCTTGTATTGTTTTCTTCCTCTTCCTGCCTTTCTCCCTCCCATACCCTAGTTCCTCTCTCCTTGTGAGGAGCAAGCCTATAGCACAAAAGTATCTATTCTACCAACTCAGTCGGTGAAGAAATTTGATTTACAATAGAAGCCATGCAGTCAAGAAATGCAAAGCCAAGCCTGGTGGTGCATGCCTGTAATCCCAGCACTTGGGATGCTGAGGCATGAGGATATTTGCAAGTTCAAGATCAGCCTGGGTTACAAAGTGAGGCCAAGATCACCGTGAACTACATGGCAAGACCCTGTCTTAAAAGTGACAAAAAGAAGAAGAAGCAGGAGGAGGAGGAGGTGGAAGAGGACAAGGAGGAAGTTACAAAAAAGTTGACTGTGTGGACGATAACCATTTCTGTGAGTTAGCAGATCAAGACATTGAAAAGAAATCCACAAGAGGGAGAAAATATTTGCAAAACACACTTCATACAGAGATGTAGAAACATCCCCCAAAGTCAATAACTAAAACACACTCACCAGGATTGGGCATTAGCAAGGGCTCAGTGAGCCATTTCTCCACAATAGGCTAGAGGAAGGACAAGGAAGCAGGAGAAATCACTCTCCAAATGACTAGCCCATAATGTGTATCCCAACCACAGGGATGTCCACACCCCATCATGTGAACCACTAACAAAGGCTGGAAAAACCTAAGTGTGCTGAGTTCAGGGAGAAACTGGAACCCTCAGCCATTGTGAAAAGATATATCAGCTCCCACAGCATCTCTGGAAAATGGTGTGATGAGGTCTAAATGCAGAAATACACAATTCTATGATTCAATGATTCCAATTCTGAGCATGTCTCCAAAACACTGAAATCTGGATGTTCACAGTTCTTTGTCAGACAAGTTCACAAAATCAACTATTCACAAAATCAACTTCAATCCAAAGAAATGAGCAACAAGGTGGTTTATATGCAGGGGAATATTTCTTGCCATTTAAAAGGAATGGCCATCACATGCTGAAGCAAGGCTGCACAGTAGGGTTAAATGAACTGAAACAAGCAGGCACAAAAGCACTAACAGGCTGTGGTTGCACTTAGATCCAGTTTCTGAGAACTCAAACTTACAGTCCAAAAATCTACAATCATGATTGTTAGGAACTGAGGGGATGGGGGCAATGGGAGGCGTTTCAGGGGGATAGTTTGCTTTTGTAAGGTGACCAACGTTCTGCAGATCTATTTCACAGCAATGTGAGCATAGCTGACCCTGCTGACAACTAAACCATGACATGAAAATACCCAGCACTGCTGATGTCTATGCTTCACAGTGGTTCTCACAGCAAAGTCCTAGTGTGTGCGTCTCATACCACAAAATGCAAACAAAACAAAGTGGAGTCTCCACCAACCAGTTTCCAACCTGGAGTCACAACAATACTGTAAGAAGGGTCTGAACTTGGTTCACAAGGCGACATCCCACTAAAGCTCAAACACAGGCAGGAGAAGAGCCCAGGTGCTCTCAGCTCAAGAGCAGAAAGAGGGCAGCAGGAGAGAAAGAAAGTCACCTGGAACAGAGCCCATTCCCCCTAAAGCCTGGGTGCACCCCCAAGACATCAGCTCACCTCCTGAGGCCATCTGGGTACTGCGTGTCTTGGAAAACAGTTTCCAGCTCCTGCACCTGCCCGTCTGTGAAGCTAAACTGCCTTCGTCGCCGCCTTGGTCGGCCCCTCTTTCGACCCCCAGCATCCGCAGGACGCTGCGCAGCCAGCTGCAGTTGCTCGGGCTCAGCTTCACCCTGATCCGTGTCGTGTTTGGTGTCACTTCCCTGGCTCATGTGGACCTTTTGGGTCAGAATGTGGCCATCTTCATCGTCGTCATCCAGCTGGCCCTTGAGGGGGTCATCCGCTGCAAAGTCGGCAGCTCCTGCACTGCAGGCAGCCCCCTCGGCTGCTGCGGGAACCTCTGGTGCAGGATCCACTTCGACTTCCATTTTCAAGTACTCTGGGCTGAGGGAGCGGGTAACACCGTCTTGGTATTCCTCTTCCATGGCCGCCATTCCCAGAGAGTCACGAGGCCTCCTACTCCGCAACCGCGTTTAAAGGCAGAGTCTCTTGGCAACAGCGTCACGGCAAAGGGGTGGAGCCTGAGTTGCAATTGGTTACAGGAATGTTGCCCCCCACCTGGAGGGTTCAGTCTGCATGAGCTCTCGTGATGTCTGCCCAAGGCTGTCTAGTTACCACCCCGCCTCAATGCTTCCCATCATAGTGTAGCAAAATCTGAAGGGTGTGGCCAGCAAAGGGGCCCAGAGATGGAACAAAAGTACTGTTATTGGACATGTGCACAAGAAGCATGCAGCTAGCTGCTGAGCTAGCTCATTGCACTGGATGCATCCCAGAGGCATATGAGGAAGGGACTGGCTGACCCTGAGGTTGCAATTGGTTACAGGAATGTTGCACCCCACCTGGAGGGTTCAGTCTGCACGAGCTCTCGTGATGTCTGCTAAAGGCTGTCTGGTTACCACCTCGCCTCAATGCTTCGGATCACAGTGTAGCAAAAACAGAAGGGGTGGGGCCAGCAAAGGGGCCAGAGATGGAAAAACAAGTACTGTTATTGGACGTGTGCACAAGAAGCATGCAGCTAATCCCAGAGCTAGCTCAGTGCACTGGATGCCTCCCAGAGGCATGTGAGGAAGGAACTGGGTGGCCCTGTAAGCTGATTAGGAAGTGAAGGGGAGGGGCTGAGAACTCACACTGACAGCACATCTCTTCTGGGAATGCTGGGAGACTGCACCTACCACTCACTCCTTGCTGCCTGTGAGTATCTTAGCATCCTGAAAACTTCTCAGTATCTTACTCTAAGTATCTGCATAGAACTATATCATCCCTGTGGATACTACGAACTAATGAATTTATGAAGTTTACCAATGAATTTCTCTTCATCCTACTTTAGAAATAAAATGATCAGTGCTGTAAAGGGAACCATCCCTAAACGTCAAGGGCTTCAGAAAAAAATCTAAATGCCTTCCAAAGTCATGTGACTTGAACAGCTGCCACTCCTGAGTTCTGAGTGAAAGAAGAATGGAAAGGAGAGTGAACACAGAGGTGAGTGGTAAGTCCCTCTCTGCTCAGGGATTGTTTAGTGCCCCCTGCTGACCTCACAGGAGTGTTACAACTGAGCCAGGGCAAGGGAAGGACAGAGCTGGGGAAGCTGGGAGGATTGGGCCCCTGGCCCAGGGATGGGAAACAAAAGTGCAGTGGCCTCTCTGGCTTCTGAAGGATTGAGTTCTGTGGTTCTCCACAAGCATCAGGACCTGTGCTCCACAGCCATCCCTGGTACCCCAAGTGATCCCCAACATAGAGGACACCAAGTAGGGCTGGGAGTGTATACAGGACATGGCCATGCATGTGCCTCCTTCCCAATAACCCCAGACATGCCCTTGGGGAGCTGCTCTCAGAGTTCGGGGTTGCCATTGAACTCCAGCCTGGGTGAGACCCAGCCCTGCCTGTACATGGTGTCTTCTCACCAGGGACCTGCCCCGGCCTGTTTGCACACAGTGGAGGGCCCTAAATGACAATACACTGCTGAGGAAGCTATGGTCAGGATTCAGCGACAGGGAATTAAATATAAAATACGAGTCATAGCCAGGCGTGGTGGCTCACGCCTGTAATCCCAGCACTCATGAGGCTGAGGCAGGAGGATCTTTGCGAGTTCGAGACCAGCCGGAACTGCACAGTGAGACCCTGTCTCAAAAAGACAAAAATATACAAGTCATTAAATACTTATGGCACTTAGAATACTGCTATCCTAGGCCTCTTGATGGTGACACAAGGGAGTGCTTTCATGAAAAGAGACTTCATCATCACTTTGAAATGACATTCCCAGGTCAACTGACATTTATATTCCGCTATCCCCAGAGTTGCCAGAAAAAGAAACCTACTGAAATTTCAATACTTTATTTACAACATAAGTGCTGAGAACAAAACCTCAAATTGGCTCAGGCACCAACACACGGCCCAGACTCAGTGCCAAGAACAAAATCATGTGCACCGTGGCCTCACAGAAGGGGAGCAGGCAAGCCCTAGTGCTGGTCCTGGACGTCCCCTTGGTGCTGGACAGCAGGTGGGGCATCGCTGAGCATGGCTTCACTCTGAAGTTTCCTATGCTTGGCCCTTGGATTCTGGAACCAACTCTGCACTCAGGGGAAAATAGGCCCTGGGTTAGTGCACAGAAGAGTCGCTGTCACAATGAAGGCCCCTCATGGAACCTCACACGCCTCTGCCATTTTATTTGCACAGCAGCAGCTCTGCTCTTGCTCCACCCGGGCACCCACAGCCCGGCCTCCTTCCCAAGACACAAAAGGGGAAGTGCTCTCCAGGAAGAGGGCGCCCACCATGCAGTGACCAGTGGAAGGAGTCACACAACTGCTCCCTCTAAACCTCTGCTACCCATTCCTCTGCAGGGAGACCAAGATCTGTGTCACATAACTCTGGGCTCTAGATTCCCTCGTGGATGCCCAGTTTTTGAGAATTCCCAAGAACTTAACTGTTATGGAAGCTCCCACAATGAAAACTCTAATGATACAAAGGGCCTTCTCTCCTAGCCTCACATGGGCTTACTGACATCAACACATTCTATCCAGAAGCCCACAGCAGCAGAGCTGATGTGGAGAGGACCAAAAGTGTCCACTGGTGACATCTGCATCTTAACAGCGGCATACACTGTGCACTATCGCAGGTGAGCTGACCTCAGGTCAGTTTCTGGAGCCTGGCTTCCTACCAGTTTCTATCACTGTCCACAGGAAAGCGGAGACCATGTGCCAGGTTCTTGGGAACTTCATGCTGCAGAGATTGGACACACTGAGAAATAAACCTTGCATCTTCATGAGCACTTTTGAATACATTCAAGGTCATACTAACTCCAAAGATGAGTGTGCACAGAAATATACCTTAGGAGGATACAGCTTTACAAATTGGTGAACTTATCTTAGTGGATATATATAAAGTGTGCTAGTCTCTAAATTATGGATTTATGTAATTATAGCTCTCTGTATTATATACACATATATAAAAGTAAATTTTGTACCTAGAATAGGCGAAGCAGCTTGATATATTTTTTTGTCTTCCTTTATGAAACCTTATTCCCTGTGGTACTGAAAAAAAAACTATATGTCTATGTTTACTATTTGGTTTTGTACCTGTGAATGCTCTTAGGAAACAAACCTTGCTTGTCATGGTAAGAAAGGAAAACAAAGACACCAGATTCACAACACCAGGAAAAGCCATGTCCTGAAGCAGGATGGAGACTGCCTGCCCTGCCAAATGGCTTTTCTGGGATTTACTGACCTTCACTCTGGATTCAGGCAGGCTCAGCTCTCTTGCAAGCTCCAGTCTGTGGAGAGAAAATCAGAAATATACTGTATTCCGTGCGGAGGATTAAATATTCAGCATTCTGCATGAATGAAACATCATATATATACTCTGTACTGCTTTTAAAGTTTCACAACACACTTCAGTGTGACCCAAGTATACTTTTCTCCATCCCAAAATCAAAGATCACTCTTTACAAATGTGTTCACCTCCTCACCAATTATATGGTGGCACTGAGAATTCAGAGGTAATTTAGGGCATTATTTTGACAAATGAAAAGGAATGCAATCATCTAACTTGAAAAAATAGTGGAATTTTTAAATATAGGAAGCCTATAGAATGACACTCTCGTGTTATTGATCCAGAGTCCACAGAAATTTTATTTACAAACACAGACACTACTTCAGGGAATACAGCAAAAATAAAGTGGATCATGTCAAAGTTAAACATTTCTGTGAGTCAATGGACAAAGTCAAGACCCTGAAAAAGGATCAACTTTATGGGAAAAATAAGTATTTCTAAAAGAGGCCTGATAGAGACACAGAAACACCGCTTTCAAGTCAATAAGTGAAACACAACTGCAAGTTTTGGAAATCAGCAAGCACTCAGTGAGACATTTCACCAAAGAAGCTAGAGAGAGGAGCAGGAATCTGGAGGAAACAGGCTCCAAATGACTAGCCTCTAACGTACACCCCAACCACAGGGATGACCATCACCCCATCATCTGGACCACTAGGAAAGCCTGGGAAATGCCAAGAGTGCTGAGCTCAGGGAGAAACTGGAGCCTTGGTCCCTGTGAGAAGGAAGGTCAGCTTCTGCAAACTCTCTTGATAACTCTCTGTTGGGGCCTCAAAGCAGAAAGACAGAATCCTATGATCTACGAATTACATTTTTGAGGATGCCTCCAAAATACTGAAATCTGCATTTCCTAGCTATTTGCCAGGGAAGTTCACAACAGCAGTATTCACAAAAACAACCTCTCCACAGATGAATGAGAAACAAGGGTGTGTCCACACAAGGGAATATTGCTCAGCTTTGAAAAGGAAGGCACTTCTGGGTGCATGTGGCAGCAGGGATGAACTGTGACGATTCATGAAATGAAATATCCAGGCACAAAAACACTAGCATACATAATAAAATTCAAATGAAACAGAATAAAACCATTCCAACTAATGAATTAAAACATTATATGGCTTCAAAGCAATGTAATGGGGAATCATGATTACCATAACCTTTTACGTACTCTTACCATTTCTTACACTAGTGAGACTATATGGTATTTATACATGTGAGGTTGATTTATTTTGCTTATGAGTATGCTCTCAAGTTGTGTCCATTTATTTATAAATATCTTAATGTCATCCTTCTTTATAGCTGAGTAGTACTCCACTGTATAAAAATACCACAACTTTTTCATCCATTCCTCTGTTGATGGATACTTAGGTTATTTCCAAGATCTGGCTATTACAAATTGTGCTGCTATAAACATGGGTGAATATCTATCACTGTGGTATGATGCTTTCAGTTCTTCTGGGAATATGCCTAGAAGTGGAATAGCTGGGTCATCTCCAGACTGACCTTCACAGTGGTTGCACCAGTCTACATTCCCAACAACAGTGCAGAAGAGTTCCTTTTTCCCCACAGCCTCTCCAGCATTTCTTGTTAGTAGTTTTCTTGATCCTGGTCATTGTTTCTGTAGTAAAA